ATATATATATATATTGCCAACCTGGTGAATTATATAATTATTTTAGCTTTTATTTATCAGACTAGAGCTGAGATTGAACACCTTTTAATATTTCTTGGACACTTGCATTTTTTATAGGTATATTTGTTATAGATAAGTAGACTTTGCCTTTTATTGGATCTCTTCCTTAAAGTTCTTGTTTATTATCAGTATTAGAGTTATTAACCTTGTATATGTTACAAGGATTGCAGGTGTATTTTGTAATCTATAATTCACCTTTTGACTTATTTTTTGAGTCTTTGACTGCATAAAATTTTTATGCATTAAGAAATGTTTGACTTCTCTATGGTGACCTCTAGTTTCCTATTTTAATAGTAAGATCCTCCCACCTTGAAAATTTAGATATTAATTCAATCCATCTCATTAAGTCATTCTTGAAATGGGGAAGAAAGTCACAATGTTTTCAAAGAAACAGCACTACTTGGTTGTATATAATAAAATTAAATAAAAACATTTCAGTTATTGTACAACTGGGGGTATATAATAGATTCATTTCCTAAATTGAACAAAAGTTGCCTTTGAATTGATGGGGATAGGTTCTTTGCCTGTGACTGTGGATGGATATGATTGAGGTCTCAGGAATTACTGCTGTAAAATAATGGCATAGTATGATTATAGTATGACCTTGTCAAATTCTATAGAGTCCAACATCAATTACAAACAGATAGTCAGAAATATATGCCTTGGATTTGCTCTTGTATATCTCTGAGTATACAATTAAAATGCTCCTTTCAGCTGTCCGTTTACTTCTCAATAGTAGGAGCACATTTCCTCTGACCAGTGGTGCAGAGGTGTTGTAACTTGTGTCAGAAGTGTTTATATTCATTTTCTTGGTTCCATTCTGCTTTTTTTCCTTTCTTATCACAGGCCTTGTCCTCTTTTGACAATGCACAATTTAGGATAGACTCACTGATAGTATATAAAATAAATTGAAATGGAAATTATACCAATTCAAATCTCTCTTCCTCTTTAAAGGAAATCTGAGCTAATGATGCATGTTGACTGATACTCAGAATTACTTTTTTATCCTGTATTAAAGGAAATTTAAGAAACAGCACCGCATTGTAACATTTTTCACTTTCATCTGCCATTGACTCATTTTCTCCATGTAAATATCTCAGTTTTCAAATCTCTACTTCCTAGATATTCCCCCCACTTGTATTTCCTCCCACACATACTTTTGCTTTTCTAGGAGACTTTCAAGTGTTAATTCTGTTGCACATTTTAAAGACTCACAGGCACCATTAACTCTATCTTCTTTTTGCCCATTAATCCACTTGTTTCTATTAACAAGAAGCATAGATTGCCAGATATTTTTGCTATAATGATTGGAAATTTAGGAAATGGAGTCTTTGAGAAATGATTGGATATGTTTAAGCCTTGCATGTTGGGAGATAACGGGAAAGCCCTTGGAACATTCTCCTTAATGATAGCATCTTTGTATGTCTGGTATCTTGAGCCGTACATGATCACTATAGCCTCTAGAGAAACAAAAGACTGGATGAATGACAATCAAGCAGGCACTCCCTTCCTACAGCACTGACCTTGAGGGCTAGTGGTCACATGGGCTTTACTGGTTGAAAATATTTCAAATATATTGTCATATATCGTAAAAATTAAGTATTGTCCATTTAATTCTAATGAAAGAAGACAAATGGAAAATTGCACTTGCTTTCTTCTACATTCTCGTGTATTTTTTCTTTTGTTGATATAAACCTTCATTATTTTATTATAATAAATCATAACACGAATATGATAGCTTTTCTGAGTTCTGTGAATCCTGCTAGTAGATCATCAAACCTAAAGGTGACCTTGGGGAATTCTCAAAACAGTAATCTTAGAGACATTTAACTTTCAGACTACTTATCTGTATTAGGGGATGGTCCTGGGAAAATTTGTTAGCCATTTTAAATTGACAATTTATAATACATTTCTATGAAGTTAACTATAATGTCAACTTATATAAATTTCTGTCTCACGTAAGCTACAGGCCCTTTTCTGTAGTTAAATCACTGGAATTCGAATTCAATAGTTTCCTCTTATGCTATCCATTGCCACGTTTTCTAGATCAGATAACTCTATCTTTCAAAAAAATGTTTCAAGTTCTGATTGTGTAAACTTCAGTCTTGTTATTTCTTCCTCACTATTTGCCAAAGTGTTTGAAATATCATTTCTGATGATCATGTCACCCATAACATAAACTTTATGAGTAGGAATCTTATTTCCTTTGTTTACAGTACCTCCCTAATACTACACACACACACACACATAATGAGATATTTTATTTCTACGTAGATTATTTTTAAAATATATGCACTCTAGAGATAAGGTAGTTACCTTTCAGCATTTACTTACAATATAAATTGTCTATTATCTTATCTACAATTAGCAAAGAGAAGAATATCTGGAAATAGGTTGAAGAGTTGTTTTGTGGTAGTGAGATAAGAAAAAGGGAAGCCTTTAGAAGTATGGAAAAAAAAAAAGCAAATGAAGGAAAGATCTGCTTGGAGGTCTTAACTGGAACTTCTGACTTTTTCAGTGACTGCACGAGTATGGTGAACTCCTGAACAGAGAAGGAAAGAAATGTACAAGTGCATTGAGTTGGGAGTAAGGCAAGGGTCTTGCTTTCAGTGCAAAACTTAAGGGATGATTTTTTTAAAGCTTAATAATCAACATAAAATATTTTATTGAAATAGTTTTAAAAATTAAAAACTAATGCTCAAACAACAAATAAATAAAATAGTAAATAAAAACAGGATCAGCAGAAGCACTGATCTACTTACAATCTACTCATAGTCTACTCATAATCTGAAAGTTAACTCCTAAGAGACCAGCTGTACTATGTGTCCTTAAATATTAAACTTTTGAATTTCCCTGCTTCCCATTCTTTCTATTTATGCATAGTTTCTACTCCTTTCTCTCCAGTAAGAATTTAGGAGTAAACCAATGAATTTGAACCTGCTCGTTTGGATGTAAGTTCAATATAGTTTAGGTGTCTCACCAAACTGATTATAACCTCAAGCATGGGATAAAACATTTTTCTATTTCTCTGTCACTGAAATATCAACAGTTCGGAAGTAGGAGTTATTTAAAATTCAGACATGTATTCAGATGTTCTTTCAACTTACACAACACAGTGTTCTTTAACTCATGCACATGGCAGTAATCTGTTATATTTAGAACATATGGCTGCATTTGATATATCAAATGTCTTTGGCAAGTGAAGTCATCCAAGTCTTATGGAATCTTGTCTGCAATAAAGCATAGGGGAAAACAATGACTTTTCCTCTCATTATTCATTATATTTCATTCAAATTCATTATATATAAATTGGTTTATACAAGTTTTTCTAAAATAACAAAAGTAGTTAAAATAGTATCACATAATTTATAAATAAGAATTGAAGTGTGATATTCACAATGGGAAAATAAACTGTTACCATCTTATACAAAGTATTTTCATGGTACAGTTCAGCCTTTTAAAATGTCCATTACTTCTAACTCTGATTAAGTAACACAATTCAAAAGAGCCACTATATATATAAATTATTGTTTCTTATTATTGTAATATAATTTATTATTTAGAATTTATTGTAATTATTATATTATAATAGTATATATTATTATATACATATTATGGTGACAGAAGATCTACTGTCCTAAGAAAAATTTTACTCTTCTCAGGTCAAGGAAAACAACTCAGCTATTATGATATCATCATGCTACCCAACCCTGAAAAAGATCTAAGTCCCTTCTCTAATAAGGGAAGTTTAAATGTGTATGACTGCTAAACTTCAAATGTGGACAGTACCTTTCAAGGAAAGCCTCATCTCTTTTCTTCTTCCACCCAGCTTCCTGGCCCATCATCAGGAATAGTTCTTCCTCTCTCCTCTCAGTTAGTGGACTCTCCATTCCTCCAGACCATGGGTGCCCAAACTTTGGCTTGCCTATATAACCATATTCTTTTCAACATAATCCCAAGTAGTGTTGATGCTGGACGAGGACTTGAATAAGAAGCAGAGAATTATTAATTGAGGAATTAAGAGGCGAGTGCTACTAATTGGTGACCCTTCTGTTCATAACTGTTGAGTAAACTGAAGCCTGCTGGAGCAAACCCATGAACATTTGCATTGGTTTTTGCTTTTAGCTACTTCACACAGCCCTTTGTAAGCCTACATTTCTCTGTGGTAAATATGAGGAGTGGAATGTCTGGATCATCTTCAAATTTAATAGGAGGTCAGGTCACTTTTCAAGGTAACAATCTCTACTTACTCGCCAATTTACCATCAGTAGCACTTGATATTGTCAGAATGTAAGTTTTTGCTCAGTTGTTAAGTATACAATTATATCTCTTTGTGAAAAAAAGTTAGTAAAACCCAGCATGACCAATGTATCTGAAAGTGTACCTTGCTTTAGTATAAATGTTTTACATGTTTTATATATCTTTTAGTCTGTTAGCCTGACTGTTAATCAATTTATGAAAACTAATTTGACAAAGACTTAAAAATAAATAAATAAATAAATTTGATTCTGACAAAAAATGTGTTATTTACATGTACAATAAATAGAATCATTGTTATTGAAAACAAATACTAATAAAAACTAAAAAATTATATCTCTGATTCTAATTTGTATTTCCCTGCCTACTAATTAATTTGATCATTTTAAAATACAATTATTGGCCGTTTTTATTTCCTCTCCTATGAAGTATCTGTTCAGGGTTTGTCCATCATTTTTTTAATGATTTGAAAATGTATTTCTCAGTTTGGGTTGACTTTTCAAGTCTTTTTCTGGTTATATTATTTGATGAGTAGATGTCATATTTATGCTTCATTCATTTTAAAAAGCTTGTTTTACAAGCACCTTTATGTTACTGATATATCTTTCAAAATATTTATAATTTGTTTTTCTTTTTTTTTTCATTTTAGTCTTCACTTTGCCTGGAATTGATTTTTGTGTATGATTTGTAAAATGAGTGTCCATTTCATGATTTTTGCTATGACTGATAAATTATTTCCTTCTGTCCTACAGCCATCTGAGACCAAAGGTAGTTACCTGCTTCTAAGAGCTACATTATTGAATTCCTGAAAGTAGACTGGCTGTCTTTAGCTCTGTGTATTAAAACTCTTTTTCATGTAAATTTCTAGGCTGAATTAATGTGCTTGTATTGTTGAAGTACTGGTCAAACTTAGAAACCTGAATTTCCAGGCTGAAATCAAGTGGTTTTTATGGTTTATTTGTTTCTTTGTTTGTTTGTTTTAAGTAATAAAGTAGAAAATGAAGACAGGTATACAAAAAGAAGTGTATGCAAGAAGTCAAGAAGAGGTATGCTATTAAGGTTTCTATATAACATAATTAGAACATATTTCACCATGGGTGTGCGTTGAAAAGAAAGTAGGTCTATGCAAGTATAGTGTGTTTATAAGTTCACTCTGCCCACAGAGCATGCATGTATGTACACATTTTCATGTTTGGATTTTATATGTTAATCTTCAAGTATCAATATCTCTCAAATTTCCTTTCAGAAAGTGAATTTGAACATTAATGTATCACAAAAGAGAAAAGTCCGCAATATCTAGATAAAAACATTGATGACAAAAATTCTTAGACTCTATAGCACTTAGAAATCTCCAAGAAAACCAAGATTATTTTCCTTATTCTTTCTTCAAATTTGACATTAGTCTCTTTCATTCCAGTTCTTTAACTAGTTGCATATTGAATTAATTTTAAGATAGTATCTTTACTACAAAGATTTGTATGAAAAGAGAAGTAGAGAGAGGTAAAAAAATTTTTATGACTGTGGTCTTTTGGTTATCAGGGAACACTAAGAATAAAACCTCAACAATGCAGGTTAAAGGGATGACAATGACCCATCCATTCTAATCCCAAAGAACCTCTAGATTAGTTGATATGTAAGTCCGCTGGAATCAGGTTGCTGGTACAAATCATGTTCTATTTATCAGCTTTGCTGTCCTCGGGCAAGTCACTTAACCTTTCTATATCTCTTTGTTCTTTAAAATCAACATATCCGGTTAAAAAGGATATTGCTGTGTTGATATAGGATTATATTACTTCAAAGTGCTTAGAGGAATGACAGGCACATTGGAAGTGTTCAATACATTTTATTGTGATTGCCTGGCACTATGGGATCAAGAAGATGAAATAAATGTACATCCTAAAGAGAAAACAGTTACTTTTTTCCCCTCATCCTGTTCTCACCCTTTGCTCCTCAACCCTCATATAATTTAAGCTTCTTATCTTTGGAAAGTTTTCATTCATGATACAGCGTTTACCTATTAAGATCAAGAAAGAATGCTCTGTAGAGCAATGGCATTCATTGTGCAGTTCCTAGACAAACAGTATGGACATATTTTGGAAAACCTGTTTAAAAGGTAAATATGAAGGGCCAAACTCAGATCTTCTAAATCAGAAACTCTGGGGAGGGGTGCCAGCAATTCATACTTTAATACGTCATACTTTTTAAATGTCTTTAAAACGTCATTCTGATGGGTGCTAAAGTTTGAGAAACATTGCCCTAGGATATCATCCTAGGCAGGAGTTAAAAACACGTGTATCTCCAATGAAGAGGGATTTTCTTTTAATAGAAAAGCATTTGTTGGTACATGTTAGGTATAGTTAATGCTAACACTAATCATAGGGCATTTGCACCTGTACATGGTACAAGCCACCCCTTTTTTTCCACCCTCAACCCCCTCCCCTCCCTATGCACAGAAGCTTTGTTTCCATTTTTTCCTTCCCATGAAGAGATTTTAATGAAGGGGCAATTTAGAGCCATGTGGACAGAATTAGCAGAGCAAGTAAGGGATGTTAAAACACCCAGAGATGGACATATGCAGGATATGCCTGCCCCAAGATCTGAAAGGGCAAAGAAAAGAGCATTATCAGGGCTCAAAGAGACCTGTAATCTGAAACAGGGACGGCTTGATAGGAGCTATATTCACGGGAAAATCCAGCTACAAATATCCTACCTTTCCTCTTCTCCTTTTCCATGGTCAAACCCAGCCAGGAGCCAGTGAACAAGGGAACCCAACAAAGCTGCATAATATGACCCAGATTCCCTGTGTACAAATGAGAGCAAAGAGGGGAGCTAGAAGCAGATAGGAATAACCAGTGCACGTAATATACAGCTTGAGCAGACAAGGAGACAAAGATGGGGGTTGAATGGGGCCATTATGTCAGCCACCATGCTGAAGACAGATGAAAACTGTATATCTAGCTCCAGGTAGAAAAAGATTTTAGGGCCAGAGATGTAGCTCAGCAGTACAGGTCTTGCCTGACAAGCATGAGGCCCTGAGTTCGATTCCTGGTACCAAAAAAAAAAGATTTTAGTTCATTGAAAAATATAATTGAATATGTATCATGTGCTTGGCATTTTGCCAGGCATTGGAGATTGAACTGTAAAACAAAACTCTTACTTTCATACAACTTGTAAGATAACCTAGGGAAATAGAAAATAACTGCATGATATTTCATATAATCTAAACACTCTCTGGAGTCTCAAAGTGAGGAAAAAGAACAAAATGTTACTGAAGGTTAGTTTTTTGGGTTTTTTTTTTTTTTACATGAGTGGAAAAAATATTTCTCTGATAAGGGACATTTGAACAGAGAGCATAAGGAAATGAGGTTTCTGAGGAAAATGATTCTAAACTGGTAGATCACCAAGGGCAAAGCTTCTTAAGTGAGGAGGAAAAGGGGAAGTAATGGGACCGAAGGGACAGCTGGAAAGAGGTGGGGGATGACAACAGAAGTAACAGGAGACACTTCCACTGAACTAATAAGACGCTGATGAAACTGTCTCCTTTGTGGCAGAGAAGAGCCGAGGAGAGGAATTCAGAGATCTGGTATGTAGGGTTAAGTCCCAAGGTTTAAAGAAATAAAATTTGTATTTATTGCATTATTATAGTATTGTAAGTTTGCTGCATACGATCTGGAACATTTAGAAATTGCAAAATCTTTTGCTTATGGTTGTTTTTCTTTTCTTTTTGAAAAAGGTAATATATTTCACTCCATAAAACCAATAATTTTCATAATTTAAAAGTATTTTCCTTATTAAATACACCCTTTAGATTTTCAGTAACATTTTATGTCTACAAAGAAGTTGCAAAGGTAGTGCAGAGTTTTATTCCCACATACTATTCATCCAACCAGTTTCCCCTATTGCTAACATTTTACATTAGCATAACACATATGTCAGAATTAAGAAACTGCTATTGGCGTGTTTATGAATTTAATCTTTTATTTGGATTTTGTTAGGTTTTCCAAAATGCCCTTTTTCTACTCCAGATTTCATTCAACTTGTCACATGGTATTTAGTTGTTATGTCTGTTGTCCTCTTTTCTGATCTAAAGTAGCTTTCCAGATTTTTCTTTTTCTCTCTGTCTCTCTCTCACTGAGTTTATTGGTACATTTTAGGTATACAGTTCAGTTACATTCATCATTGGGATCTTGTACCTTCACATGACAGGCCTTGGTTCTCATTTGTCCCCCTTGTCCCTGCCCTCCCTTTACCCCTCCTCCCTTCCCCATTTACAAACACTTTATTTCCACGACAGGTCTTGGTTCTCATTTGTCCCCCTTGTCCCTGCCCTCCCTTCACCCCTCCTCCCTTCCCCATTTACAAACACTTTATTTCCATTTTCTCATATTTTTCCTTTATTTCCTTTCCCTTTCCTTCCCACCTCCCCTACACCTTTACCCCTTTTCTTCCTATTTCACATTGTCACTTGTACAATTCGGCTCTTATGCACAATTGTAATTTTTTCACACCAGAGAAACTATTGGGTATTCACACATGTGTGACATTTACTTCACTTAAGAATATGACCTTGACAGTTTGAGGAGTCCGTACGGGTTAGGTTATGTGGAAACTACCTCTCGAATTGGATTTGTCTGATACGTCGCTCATGGTTAGATTGGGGTTATGGATATTTGGAAGGATGACCACAATAGAGACATGCCGTTCTTATTAAATGGAATGAACGAGGTGTCAAGATGCCTTATGTTTTTTTAATGATTTTATCTAAGGAAGCTAGCAACAATTAAAGAAGCATTTCATATTGGATGGATATCATAAAATATTTAGAAGCGTAAGAAGAAAATTGATATTTTCCCATTAATGAAAAATTATTTTTATATATTGTGCGCACGTACCTTTCTAAAGTAAAAGCTGACCACAAGATGTCAGTATTAACTTATATACAAAAGTGAAGCTTGCTTTGAATAACAGCTAATTTTTCTGAGGCGTGTGTAGTTACAAATCATTATTTAAAAAGTCCTTGGCAATAATTAATCCTCAAAATGTTTCAGTTTTACAAAACCACTAGAATAGTTGGGAATGCTAAATTGTCTCATTAGTTTTGCATAATATTTTTCCTTTAATTCTCACCCAAGTTACTCATTGGAAATTTGATTTAAAACAATATGGTTTCACAATGAAGTTGAGGCCTCTATTCTTAAATAGAGAACAAATCTACAGAAATCATTCTGAGTTTACATTTATTCTATTAACCAACAACAATGACTTTTTAAACTAATAAACATTTCCACAAACACCAAAGAATGGAAATGTTATACTCATACCTGTTGCTTTTACTGCTTCATTTTAAACCTTTAAACAAGTGCCCTGCACGCAACATGGAAGGAAATGTATTTTAGACTCCCTACTTCCCCGTACACCCCTGTTTAAATCTGCCTGAGTATGATCTCATGATTGACTCTCCATGGTTTTCCTGCTTACTCCAGAGTCCTCCTCTGTCCCCTCAAATTTCTTCTGCTCTTTATTAACATCATAGTTTCTCTCTTAGAACTGTTTCTGAAGCAACTCCAATTCCTGTTAATTTGCTGTTGGAAGTAAATAGACCAATCCTCCAGTTCAGGGTTAAAATATTCTTTTTAAAGGAAGCCTCTAAATAACTGCATTGGTTTATTTATTAAACATTTTCTAAATCAACAAAAACACAGACAACTCCACTACTCTGCGGATGGTGGGGAGCAGTGAAAAGAGCAGTAGGCTGCACGTGAGAGTTACAACCCTGCATCCACAGTTAATTTTCATTGCCCTCATCAAATAATTTAATCTGTAAAATTAAGGAAGAAGACTTCAACAGTATTAAGATAACCTTCTTTATTCCACTAATACCTGCGGATGTAGGGAAGACTAGTCCATTATTGAAAAGTGTTAAGATGAGAAAGTTTTTCCTGAGCTGAACCAGCTTTCAACTTCGCTTATCCATTGATCTTGGCTCTGCCCTTGGGTGGCACAGAGAACTAAGAACTTGCTTCAAGTAATGACCCTTCAAATACAGGGAAACTTCTTTTTTCTCTCTCTCTCTCATTGAGTTTATTGGTACATTTTAGGTATACAGTACAGTTACATTCATCACTGGGATCTTATACCTTTACATGACAGAACTTGGTTCTCATTATTTCCCCTTATCCCTACCCTCCAGGGAAACAGTTCTTGTTAACAAAATATCCTTTTCATTTTCCTAAAATCACTAGCTTTTTGAAAATTTTAATATTAGTGCTGCTTTTAGGGTTCTATCATTCACTGATCTCTTCTGACGTCATGAGGCTTGCATAGTCCTCCTGTAATGTGATGTTTGGAACTGATACTTAGTATATTAGCCATAATTTGAGGGACCAAGAATACATCAGCACTATTGATTTTCCAAAAGACTTTTGTAGTCTACTAACATTACTCATTTTATTAATCAATCAAATTGTTCCAAGCCCTCTTTCCATGACATCTAGGATATACCTGATTAAGAACAAAAGTGAGTGCTTTCTTTGAAATTCATTGCCTCTTGGAATATTATATATCAAAACATCACACAAGTTAAAAGTATAACACATGTGCAATTGCACATGCGCACACACACAGACACACACATGGATGTGTATTTGTCCAATGAGTTATTATATCATTCATGTGGAACTGTGAATGTAACAAGGCATCCAAAGTATACAGTTTTAACTGAACTGGAAATACTGAATGTTTCGATTATCATCTTGATTGAAAATTTATAACCTGAATTAACCTATGAGAGAATAAACTCTATGGAAATATTGTTACCTAGTCTCAAACAGCTATGTGAAGCAAAACCCAAGGGAAGAGTATAATCAACTAGCTTAGAAACTAGGAGTAAGAAATAATGGACTAATTTCAAATCTTGCGCCTCCCATTGACTAGATATTATTATCTGAACATCTCACATATTTGATTCTATGCCCAGTCCCAGAATTTACATAAAGGTTAATTACAATCAGATATATAAGGCTTTTAACATATCTTTGGCCCATAGAGGACCCCAGTAATATATGGCTAACAAACATTCTCAAATACATATTTTCTCTCTATATAAAATTATATATAAAGTATGATCAGAAAGTATGTGTTTCAATTTTAAAACATTTTTATAGTGAAGGACACATTGTTATTCATCCCTCTCATGTTAAACACTTATCCCCTCATTCTTGCCACTTTCTCAAGCAGTTCTAGAAATCCTCTTTTCGGAGTTTCTTTAGCTGCACTATTAGTGTCCTGAATTGATTCCAAATATAAGGGTCATTTTGATTTTGAGATAGAGCCAGAATTCAAAGGGTGACAGATCCAGTAAATAGGATGGATGATGACACATCATAATGTTTTTATGCACCTGCATTTCCCCCGGATGGAATTCAACAGCAGTATTCACTGTATTTTGGTTCATATCATGTAAGGATATTCATAAGCGATGTCTTCCAGAACTGCCACAGTCAGAGGCAGAATGATAGGTGTGTTTGAAGTGAGGGGGGTACTTTCAAGAGGATTAATGGCATTGTGATTTTTACTGTAATAATTTCTTTGTAATTTTAACATTCTTTGTATATTTTGATTATGCCTTGTGTGCATAAGGAAATTCATAGACAGATTTAAATTGATCCCATAATATCTGGCCTTGTCTGTGATAATCAGTGCTTATTAAAAATTTGTCAAGAATTAGATATTTGGTTTCTGGTGATGAACTAGAACAATAGAACTATCTCAGGTAATGTCTGATTCAGTTTCCATTAACTGTCCAGCCAACTCAACTGTTCTTCCTGTGTGTGTGTGTGTGTGTGTGTGTGTGTGTGTGTGTGTATGTATGTGAATAACAGTGTTTGGCTCTGATGTAGCCAAGTTTTCAGTCTACATAGAGATATAAGGGAGAAACGCAGCTTAATATCCTTGTTTTTCTTCTTGTTGCCTTTTAAAACTCCATTCTGGTTTTTTTGGGGGGGGTTGGGGAGCTTTCTGAAAACTGAAATTTCTGGAGAAAAATGCAAATCTCTGCATAACAAACTGTATCTTATTCCCTCAGTATTTTAGAAAATGGTTATATTGATATCTGGGTCTCTGTATTTGTTTCTCTCTATGAGGATAGTTAGGGGATTTCAATATTCATTCATCATTACCTCATTTTCTTCCCTTGAGTGCATTTAAGTAGCTAACTCAGCAAGAAGTCAGATGATGAATTCCTCATTACTGTGTTATTTTTTATTACTGTGTTATTAAATTAAAGATTCACTGACCTTTCCTCCCATGTCCCAGGTCCACAGTTATCACATTTTCAACAGCAACACAAAATCAACATCTGGGCCCATGTTTTAAGATATTGTTGGACCAATACAATTTGGCTGTGGCTCAGTAACCATTTCCTCCACATTAACAATCTATGATTTGTTCTCACTGATCTGTGAAAATAATAATACTAGAATGTAATTACTTGGCATATATGCTATTAGAAACTACGTATGCTATTGAGCTAGCAGAAAAGCAGATGGAACTGCATTCATTTGCAGCCTCTGTGACATTATGAATTTTAAATCAGTAAATTTTAGAAAATTTATAAATTTTTTTCAGATATTTACTAAATAAATTTTATATTCTAATTACTGTATAATGTCAGTTATTTTATACATATAGTTTTAGGGACCTACAAGATCTATAGAACATTTTCTGTTTTCCTTTCATCTTAATTTTTTAAAATTTTGTTTTATCACTATAAAATGACCAAAGCCATAATTTTAATATTGACAATTTGCATTATTTTAATATTGACAATTTGTACCTGACAGATATTTTCTTAAGTTGAGGAAACTCCAGTTTGGATTTGGAGTTTCTTCATTTGGATTTCCTCATTTAGATTTCCAAGATGGAGTTTCCTCAACTTAAGAAAATATCTGTAAGGTGCAAATTGTCAATATTAAAATTATGGTTTTGGTCATTTTATAGTGACAAAATAAAACTTTTTAAAATTAAGGAGGGCAGGGACAAGGGGAAAAAATGAGAACCAAGACCTGACATGTAAAGTTACAAGATCCTAATGATGAATGTAACTGTACTGTATACCTAAAATGTATCAATAAACTCAATGAGGAAAAAAAATAAAATAAGATTAAAAGAAAAACAGAGAAAGAACATATTCCCTCTTTAAAAAGAATCTGTACAGTATTCAAATTTGAGAGGCAATATGTAGAATTCATTTATGAGTAACAAACACAATCTTAAATCTCATAATTTAATTTCAATAACAATGATTTCATCTGAAAGACACATTAATCTTAATTATTCTGATCCATGGGACTAAACAGAAAACTGTTAACCCCCATCTGCTGGTCTTTCCCTCAGAGGAGAATTAAGGTCACTGATGACCCATGTTCTGGGGCATTTTATGAAAGAGAAAGAAAGATCCTCTTAGAGCTGTCCTCTTCACTTATCTTTTAATATCCTGAAGATGTGAAGATTGCTGTTATCCAGAGTGGTTGCTGGTTCCGGATATGCATATCTTTTCCCTGGAGCCAGGCACAATCTGGCTTTGGGACAGAATCTCTGAGGGGCTGGTGGAAGTTCACCACTCAGCAGTGTTCTTGGAGACCATAAACATTCCAGAAAAACGTCCCTGATTCCTGGACCCGTTGACTAAAACATCCCAAACTCTCCATTGGAATTTGTTGACTCAAATGACAAAATATGGGTTGTAAAAGAAGGTGCCTTTTCAATCTTATGATTGTTTAGGCAATTTGCATGATGCTGTTGATTCAGTCTCTAAACTTGGTCTATGAATACCAGCAGTCATAGGATAATTTGGAATGGAGAAATGGATCTAGTTTTGCTTCGTGTTTGTTCCATGTAAGATAGATGAATGAAAGAACCAAGCAATATCAATAGTACCAATAAACTCAATGAAAGGAAAAAAGAACCATACAATTTTACCATGTGCATACAAATGATATATATGTATCACAATTTTATTATGTGTGATAAATACAAGGGAAAGTCAAGTTTATGATGATTAACTTACTCAGATACACATACCTCTATAATGCTATAAAAATTACATGGTTTTCAGAAAAAAATGAAGTTTTTTTTTCTCCCACTAGAATTACTTTATGATTCCTCAGACTCTGCTAAGTTATGCATGGTGGACATCAGAGAGGAAAATAACTGAATTCTCCATTAGAATATTTTCCACCATGGAAAGCAAGCAAGCAAGCCAGCAATCAAGAAATTAGTGATTCTAATTAATGATTTCCAGATAAACATTTTCTTATTATCCTAATGACCCACTAAGTTCTTTATAGCTATCATGTTACAAACAGTATAGATAACTTCAATTGGAGAACTGAGCTCTTAGTATTATAGTATTTTTCTACAGAAAATATTGTTTTTTAATAAACCAAATATCACAAACAAATGAAATCCATCATAGCATAATTGAGCTTTCAAGCAAACTATTTCAAAACCAGTGAAATTAATGAAAGTAAATTCCCTGAGAACTAAGAACATTGACTACCTTGAAAAAAATCCCTCTATATTTAAGGACAATATTGAGAAAGATGAAGGCAATGAAAGCAGGTTTATTCACTAGTTGGCAACACTGAGAATTCTAGTTCAGGATTGCATCATTTAGGTTTTCCTCAACTGTTTTTCTACTATAATTACATATTTGACGTATGTCTTCTAGAGTAGCCACTAATATGAAACCCCTGCTGAACAAAATGTAAACACTAAACAAACAGTAATGGTGGTCTTTATTTCACCAGAGTAGTCTGACCACATCAAGCATCCATGAGTAGGTGGTTTCCAGAATACTGTCAAATAACAGAAAACAATCTGTTGCTGAAAATAACACTGAATGGTGGGAAAAAACGGCAAATTATTTTTCCTTCCAATAATAAAACAGAGTAAAATTATTAATAAAAACAATAGCAAACCAGAGGTATCACCTAAGGACAAATTTTCATATGTTTTGTCATATTTAACCCAAAGAGAAAAAGCAAAAAATTAGGAGAGATTGTGGCTACGCTTTCTGGAGCTGCGCTGGCAAGGCGGCTAACTTACCCATCTCCAGAATTTTATTTCCTTGTTGCTATTTTTGCCACTGAGCAAATGATGAATGGAGGGTCCTACTTAAAGAAATGCTGAATTTAAAGTTTGTAAAGTGGATCAGTTGCTTAGAAATCAAAAAAGGAAAGTAAAAAGTATTATTATACAGCTTGTGGCACTTAAACCTATAATTAAGGTGGCCAAATATTTTCCATAAGCCTGTTATATTCATTCACTTACAAATATTTAGCTAGTTTATCACTTGAAACTAAAACTTTCCACATTCTACATATGTATTGCCTGGAATCACTTAAAAACAATTCAGATAAGTTTGAATTTTGGTAATTTGTCTTTTCTTGGATAATTTAAAAGTCTTTGACATTTCTACATGAAGCAAAAAGACTGTTATATTTCATTTTGGATTAAAATTTAAAATCAAATGTAGCATGCTTCAAAGGAAGTTTAGATGAACTATGAAATAATAGGTTAAAGATAATAATATCATTCATAAAGTAAAACCATGATCACAACATGCTCTATTGCCATTTTGCCTTGGAAATATGCTTCTGCTCCTTGGATCAATCTCTCCTCCCTTATTTGACTTATAAACTTACCAACTAGTTGTTTAAATGCTGTACATATAGCTTAGAAGATAATGATATTTTTATGTTTTGAAAATATTTGTATTTCTAAAAGTATTATATTTCAAATTACCCATTGTTATATTTTTCATCACTTAAGGAAATTACAAGCCGATAAAGTTTTGAGATCAGTTCTAAACATACAATGAAATTCAGTCTGATTATAATATTTTATTTTCAGCTCTTCGATATTTAGCCAATGGATATAATGGGGCAACAGGTACAGGTTGGAGGTAGAAAAGATGACAGGGAGAAAGATAGATCTTGATATTTTTAATTTACATATTATGAAGAATTGCTTCTTTATTTGTTTAAAATACAGTAACTAGAAAATTCATTTGACTAGGTTGGTCATGCTCTATTACCAATCGAAGGGGACGCGTCAATGAGGATATTTTCTGTTACTTATAATTTGCAGAGGTTTGCCAAAAATACTGGTGTATGTCCCAAACTTTTAACATTGAAAGGACAAGTCATTCATCATACATTTATGGACAGACTTCAGTGGCAAAAAGAAGTACCAAATTAATGAGTCAAGAGAGAAAGTTGTTTCAAAAAATGAGGGGAACAGAAAGTGGTTACAATACAGTGATGGATTGATGGGTGTTATCTTGAAAATAAATATGATAGGTTTTAGAATTTGGGGCACAAAAAGTGACAGTAGTTCTAAAGAGTTGGCAAACACAATTGAGAAGGTAATAAGTCACGGTAAAGTGTTTTCGTCAATCTCCAAATGCTTGAGAACTTAACAAGATCCTTATTTTTCATTGTGTGGTACATGCATGACCAACAGTTATATTAACAGGCAACTTGTTCAAAATGTAGAATTTCAAGCTCCAAAATTCTTAAAATCCTTCAATAGCTTCTTACAGATACCATGTTATTGCTTGCTAAAACCAGAAATAGACACTGAAAATTAAAGAAGAACAAAAAGGCAGTGTAAGTTCTAAAGAAGTAGACCTTCTAAGGAAGTATGGCTCTCTGTGTGTTTATGTGTGTCTATCTCTCTGAATATCTGTCTGATTGATTATATGTAGTCTATATTATAAAACTGACCTTTTCATCAGTTATCTCTGACCATAATAATGTTGCACAAAAATGTAGCTCAAAACTCTGGCTTGAAACTCTGAACAAATTACTCACAGATATGCAGACTGTATAAATATTGTCTACATTGGTTAGCTGGATGGCTCTGCTGGTCTTAAGTGGACTAATTCTTATTTCTGTAGCATGTAGGCTTCAGTTGAGCGTGGTGTTGCCCCATTTTTCCTATCCTGGTGGGATCAAAACTTTAGCTGAAGCATGTCCTGGTAGTTCTAGTAGAGATTTTAAAAATGCAGAACTAATCATGCTATAGCTTTTAAAACTTCTTTTTGAGTCATATCTTCTAATCCCCCTCCATCCAAAGAAAGTAAAAACATAAAAACACTTAGAGTTAAAGTTTTCTCACAACTATAAGTAAACCCTGAAAGCCAAAAAGTGTTAGGTCTATGATCCAATTATTGCAAATAGAAAACTAATTATTCTGTTTCAAATATTCCTTTAAAAATAACTACCCCCGCACCATAAGGAAAGATATAACAATCAGTAATGACTTGAAATACAAAACCTAGCACAGTTATGCTTATTTTTTTCAAAGTATGACCCCATAACTAAATCTTGTTTTCATTTCTATTTTGCACAAAACTTTCTTTATAAGATTTTAATTAATAGCCCTGAA